TGGTGGGTCGTAGAAACCTGAGGACAAACTCCCCACCTTCCAGCTCTCTGCTCTCAGCTGCCTGGGCACAGGCTCCTCCCAGCACAGTCCCCTCCCCCCAGCATGTGTCCAGAGGGGAGCTTGTGAGAACTGGCTCCTTCTGATGGCCAGTAGGGACCCAGTGAGTGGAAGGTGGAGGGATGGAAGGGATGTGGTGGAGGAGAACAAGAGAGGAAAAGAGCTCTGCGTGTGATAAAGTTCAAGAGCTTCAGACGGTGCCAACCAGAACTGACACTCCGCAGTGCCTGCTCTCATGGCTGGAGCAAAATGATGGTGCTGTAGCAGCATCAGGAACTAGGGGAGACACCCCAGATTTGGAAGAATTTATAAACATGGCAAATGAAAGGAAAGACGATGGAAACAAAACACTGGTACTGTTTTCTGTAAATTTCAAATTCACGTCATTTCCCTCCTTTTTCTTCAAAATTAAAAACTGGTCAATTAAAAAAAGAAGAAAGGCCAGAGCCACAGGTAGGGCACAGGAAATAGACTCTTCCCCACGGCCCACTCCTCTCCCTCCTCCTCCCACCATAGCCTCCTGGGGTGGGATCTGGTAGCCAAGAATTGGTTTGGAAGTGGCTTCATAGTCTTGTTATGGAAGAGTCCTTATCCTGCCCGTTCTGTTTGTGTTCTTCTAGGAAAGAAAAGAAAAATTTGTTTCAAAACCATACATTTGGGATTACCCATGAGAATCCAAGGACGAGCCTCAGTTTTCTTATCTATAATAGAAAAGATAATAGCCCACTTCTGTATATGGCAAAGGGCAGCTGGAATAAGCAAATGAAGTGATGGACATAAAGGACTCCATATATGGAAGGTAGTCACAAAGGTCCTAGCTGTAGACAAAAACCCAGGATGAATGTAGCGGACATTCATGGGATTCTTCTCCAGGAGAGAGGACTAGAGCAATTGATGTCTTCATTTTTTTTCTCTATTAGTTCACCTTTTCCTACATAACCTACAGATGACATAGTGAATTATCTAAGGAAGAAGTATAGTGCTGGGTTAAACCTAGAGGCTTTGGAGAGAGAGATTTTGGGTTCAAGTTACTCAGCCCAGTCATCTTCATCTATAACATGAATATAATTATCTTGACCCTCCTGGGGTTGTTAAAAGGTTTAAATGTATGTAATATCTGGAAAGGGCTTAGCACAGTGCCTGCAGGGAAAGGCCTCAATGAGTGGTAGCAATTGTCAGTATTACTACATTTGTTAAGGCTGCCTGCCAGCATGTTGGGTTCCCAGCTAGTGCGCCTGGAGCTCTGGGCACATGCAGGCCATGCTTGGTAAGGGTGAAAGTGCAGTCTCCAGCTATGCTCAGCAGCCTCAGCAAGAGGCCCCGCAAACAGAGCATATGACTGCCTGAGCATAAACATGCCTCCCTCCTCACACCAGCACAGACGTGGGCTGCAGGTGAACAGGCACAAAGAAGGCCACTGTGATTCAAAATGTGGGGAGACTCTCCTTGATCTGGGGATACATAAACTGTTTTTCCATAATCTTTGCGCAAACTCTATCCAAGCATTGTGGGAAAATCCCAAAGGGCAAAATGCAGACTAACACATTGGTGTCTATAAAACATACAGCACACCTAATACAACACAACACAACTATAAGAGTATATGTATATATGCAAATGTATCTACATACACACACATACTCCAATCATGTGTAAGAGGACAACCCCCCCGTCTCCTCCAGACACACACACACTCTCTCTATTGGGGAAATCATTTATCACTGGGCTTATACATTGATAACCCACACCTCAAGTTTATAAAAACTGCTAAGTCTATCCTGAATGTCCCCACCATGAAATCGCATCCTGATTGGCAGCTACAGCTCACCAGAGGCCTTTGAGAAAGCACTGACTGATCTACGTGGTGAGCAAGGCCCTTTAGTCAGCATCCCCTTACCTCATTTTCATGATAGCCTTAAGATGTGGGTGTCAGTTTTGCTGTTTACAGATGAAAAAACTGAGACTCAGAGAAGTCATCTGCCTAAGAGCCTATAGCTGGTAATAATAACAGCTAACACTTGCGTTTTTACTATGTGCCAGACATTTTCCAGAGGTTTTATGTGAATAAACTAATTTAATCCTCACAAAAGCCATATGAAGTAGGGGCCAAGTAGGGGCCATTATGATCCCCATGGTATAGACAAAGAAACAGAAGCACAGAGAAGTTAAGTGACTTGCCCAAGGGCACACAGCTAATAACTAGCAAGCTATTTGGGAGCCAGGTGGCCATGCTGTCAACTACAGATGGAGTTTGAACCAGGGACTGACTCCAATGCCCACCCTCTTTCTGTCCTATGATAACCCTATGTATTTTTGTCCCCCAACAACTTACCTGCCGGCTGTGTCCTGGGCTGGGTATGCTTGAAGGACTGGATTGTGACAAAGCTAGGCTGCTATTTTTCCCAACCTGAAAGACACCAGTGAAGCCCCCACTCAGCCACACACGCTGGCTGGGGAAAGACCACCGACACTATGTGTCACTAGGGGAAAGGGGGAGGGCTGCGTCATAACGTGCCTCATTCCCTCATGTCGATTCGGAACTGGTGTTTCCATCTTAAAGGCAGAGAAAATGAGACTGTTTCAGAGGGAGCCTCGAGAATGCTTCCCTCCTTCCCAGAGGAAAAGCGGAATAGTGGTGAACTCCTAATTCTGCTCCCCAGATGGACAGACAGCACGTTTCAGGGATGAAGATGAAGGCATCTGGTTGAAGCCTGGCCCCTCCTGGGAGCACTTAATTTGGCAGAGGCCCATCTTTGCCACCCGTGGCTGAGGGGTCACACAAGCTCAGCCACTTCTGGTCCTCAGTTCCCCTCAGTCCCAGACCTGTTTTGTTTCTAGCCCACACTCCCTTGGACCAACTGCAGATAGAATGCCTGGGTCTTTTTCTGGCTCAGTTTTCCCAGCCAGGAGACACAGCACACACACTGCTGTTCCTCAGAAAAACAGTAGGACGTCGCTGGGCTTCCCCTTCAAGTGCAGGGGAGGGCAGGGCGCTGTGCCTGAGCCGGGAGCCGACGCCAGGCGCTACCCCCCGTCCCTGTCTTGTCTGCAAAGGCAGCTCTTGCCTTTGGCCTATGAACTTGCCTTTGCATAAAGACATTTGTCTTATATTCACAGTTTTGTTTTTTGTTCAATTTAATACCTCAGTGGCAAATTCTGGCCTTACACCTACCAGATACAATTAAATGGGTCCCCAAGTTGTCCCCAAAGCATAGGTTCATTTTGGATTTCTCAGCCTCATCCTCTGCCTCTCCCCATCTCCTAAGAGAATCAACACAGATCCCAACGGCCTTCGCCTTTACCCAGCACTTGAAATCACTGGTGGTGACCCTGGTCAAAGCCTTTTCTTAATGGCCTGGTAACAAGCACTGAGGTATCACCGGTATTAGAGTCAGTTTTGACTAGACCCAAGGCAGCCTTAAATGTGTCAGTATTTTTGATTCCCCTCCTGATGAACGCTCTCTGGTGGAGGCTTGTCTGGGTCTTTTTACCACCAGTTCGGCTATTTCACAGTGTTTACTAAGCATTTCATATGGTCCTACCAGAGGATCCACAGAGCAACATTTTACTAATACAGAGGCTCCCCATTAATAGCAAGGAGGCTGAGAACCCAGACTCCAGAGCCAAACTGCCTGGTTTAAATCCCAGCCCTACTATTTACTTGCTTGGTGACTGTGGGTACCTTGCTTAACCTTCCTGTGCCTTGGTTTACTCATTTGTAAAATGGGGATCATAACAGGTAGTTATTAAATGAGTTAATATATGTAAAGTGCTCGGAACAGAGCCCATCACTAAAGCATTAGCTGTTAGAACTTTACCTAAAATGAGTGAGATATCATAACCTTGTTGTTCAAGGTGTGGCCTGCAAACCAGTGCGCCTATTAGAAATGCAGGCTCACAGGTCTCGTCCACCCCAGGCCTGCTGACTCAGAATCTGCATTTCCACACGACCTCCAGGTGGTTCGTGTGCACATTCAAGTCTGCGAAGTCCCGGCTCTGCCCCCTATCCTGAGACCTGGAGGTGACACCAACCGGCAGTTTAGTCTCCAGGTAGGGCCCTGTGGGTGCTGGCCCCCTCCCCCACACCCCTGGAACTGGAGAGTCAGAATGGTGCCCAGGCTCTAGTCAGAGGACCTGCGCCTCCCCCTCCTCTCACCTTGGCCTTGATTTGCAGCTTGTCTGGCCCTTGAGTTCCAAACTTGCTGTTTTTCATGTGTTTACTTGTGATTTGTGAATCTCCCTCAGGAGGTGCTCTTCGTGAGATTTTAACAAGTGTCATAAACAGTGACAAAACATTAAAACATCTTTTAACAACTGCCTCCCATCTCTCCAAAGTTCTCATCCCTACAAGGCCTGGGCTTAGGGTGTGGCCCACTGAATTCTGTGGCTGTGAACCTCGGGCTGCTGCTATGGTCTCGGACACTCTGCCCTCAGGGGTGTGGACTCCTGGGTAGGCCTGCTGGCCCTCCTGCCCCTTCTGCCCCTTGGCTCCCAGAGACCCCCAGGCCAGGCCCTCCCACCTCTGCTCTCCTGTGTGTGCCCAAATGGCACTAGAGTCTGGGGTGGGGGTGGCAGTGGGCTTTCCTAAGTAGCTTCCCCAGCTTGAAGAGAAACGATGGTCTTGGGGATGAGAACAGAGCTTGAAGGGAAGACACAGGTGTTCTTTCTGGGTGGCAGCACGTTTTCCCAGCTTCCTAACCACACACACTCTTATTTGTACAGTGGCATCGAACACTTCTTTGCCAGCTGGTGTGAGCTGCAGAATTCCTTTAGGAAGGAAGGAGTTAGATTAGGAGGCAGTGGGGGTTGAGGCAGCCTGGTAAAGTGAGCCACAGTCACCTGGGAGCCAGGACACACAGGTTACCACTCCCCAGGTGGGATCCCTGGTCATCATGTAACCTGCCTGGGCCTCGGGCCCTTCCTAAGGGATCAGATCAAACTTCTTAGCAATGGAACTCTTTAATGAAATCATCCTCAGAACCTCAAGACATAAAATAGAATGGAGTGGGGAGCTCAGAATCTCTCTGTGCCTCAGTTTACTCATCTGTAAAATGGTGATAATCATACCAACCACAGTGGGGTTGTGAGGACTAAATGAGCTAATAGTTGTAATGTGCTTAGAACACTGCCTAGTGCGTAGTGAGAGTTGCCTAAAGTATTTGTTAAACTGCTCTCAAAGCAGAGGGTGAAAATGGCCTACGGGGAAAACAAAAAAAGGAGCCACGCTTGCGTTACCTGTCTGAGCCGCCTGGCTAAGCAGGGGCGCTGCCCAGCTCCCCCTACCCCCCACAGCCAATGAAGGCAGTGCCAGGAGGTCCCTTACCTGCCGAGAGGAGGTGCTGTTAACTGGATCGGGCACCGGTGCAAGAAGGCCGGGCGGGTTCTTTTTGTGAACGCTATTCATACCAGGCATTTTAGTGATTTTACAGGCTTTGCTACTAGAACTCGAGTTCTTACGCTTTTTTCCTTCTGATTTGTCAAAAGAGAGGGGCAGAGAAGACACAGCATTGTGTGAGGCCAGAGAGAGGTCCCCTGCGTGGAGCGCAAGGGAGGGCACAGAGAGGGGACAGGAGTCACTGCTGCTGCCCACTGCGCCCACCTGTCTCACTGTGTCCGCCGGGCCACCAGGCAGCGGGGTCCGTCCTGAGGGCTCCAGTTTGGCACTGAGTGGGCTCACCCCATTGTTTGAGTTGTGCACAGACAGACTGTTATAGGGAGGGGCCGCCTGATAGGAGTTCAGAGCGCAAGTGGCATTCAAGACACAGTTCTTTTTGTGGGGCCCTGGCAGTGGAGACGAGAGGGAAGTCTGCAAGGACAAGGAGGAGGAGGGGGAGGAGGAGGAGGTCGAAGGCTGCGGCTTCCTCTTTTTGTTACTTGGAGACTCGCCACTGCGGGCAGACAGGTCTTTGACTTTTGAGGATTTGCTGGTTTTGGTTTTGGATGGCTTGTGGGATGGGGAAGGGATGACAGCTGGTATCGGGGACACGGCAGATGGGGCCTTGAAGGTTGAGTCCATGATGCTGAGGGTTGCGGCCACATGAGGGAAAGCTGTGGTGTGGGACATGAGGGCGCTCGGGTCCGGCGATGTCACAAAAGCTGCGTTTGAGAGCATGGCTGATGTCATTATGTAAGAAGACGTGAGTCTCGAGCTGATGGGAGCTGAAGGAAGATACACAGCACTGGGGTTGCTGAAAGGCTGCAAAACGGATGCTGGAACAGGGGTGGAGATGTGGGCTGCTGGCGAGGGCATGGGGCTATCTGCCGCAGGAGGGATCTTCCTAAACATGAGAGAAGAGTGAAAGAGACACAGTGAGACGTTGGGTTGGCATCGCTCGGGAGGCTCAGGGCTACAGAGAACACCCCGGCAGAACCACACTATGGAGAATGAAGCCTTGAAGGATGGTGAACTCTGAAGTATGGCCCTTCCTCATGGCACCCCCCCACTGCCACATCCAGCAACCTATTTTTAATCACTCGCAGGTTTTCAGATGCTTTTCTCCATGCTTGGCTACTGGAGAATGGCTGATTTTGTTTGATGAATAAAAGGCGGTGTTATTTAGAATATAAATTTCCCCAGCAGTATTCCCCTCTCTCTCTCTCTCTCTCTCTCTTTTGGCAGTGGTGAAGGTGGTTTTTAATGAGAAGTTGTCGGTCCTGGTTTGAAGTAAGAAACGTGAACACAGGGCTTGGCTACCTGGACACGTGGGCCAGAGCATCCCCCTGCAGCCTCTGCCCCGGGACGCGCAGGGCTTCCCACCCTACTCCTGGCTGGAGGCAGCCTGGGATGCAGCCCTCTCCTCACAGGTGGCTCCCCCCTGCGCTTGCTGTCTGCAGCCTCTGGAGTGCTCTGTAGAGAGGCATTTCCATGTTAGCTCATGACTGTTGGCTCCTGGTGGCCCAGCCACGGAGGGTCAGAGGCTTGGGAAATGATGATGTCAAGGTATCCATTCCCAGGACTGATTTTATTTTTTTTTCCCTATTTATCCCACCCTACCTTGGCTCTCTCTCAGAGAAGCTATAACAGGGTTGTGGCTGCCCTTCAGCTGGTCTTTCTGTCCCTGTGATAGGAAAAGGTGAGAGTGTGGGGACCCTCATGTGTCTAGAGAAGGGGATCAGTAATTTCTAGTTCATTCTGAAGATAAACGCAGTATATGGGCAGGAGGAATCCGGGTGGGGCAGGGGAAAGCCACTATTTCCTCCTTTGGTCTTCCTGGAACTTGGGCAGTACCTAAGAACAAACTCCCCAGAGCCAAGGCCAGCAACAGGCAGCGGGTCACCCTGGGGGCCTCTCTGAAAACTGTCTTTTGACTTGTGCTGGAAACAGCTCCCATTTCCAGTCTGCTGCCTGGGTCAATGCTGCGCCCACCCCTGGGACAGGGAGGAGGGCCAGCGGCCATGGGGTCACCATTTGTTCCTGACTTTGCAGGAAAGGATACTGACCTCAAGAACCAAGTGAATGTTTTCAAGCTGGTTCTTTCCTATTTCTCACCTTGCTCCCCAGCCCCGTTTCCCCTGGAAATCATTTTCAGTGTAGCTGGGTCTCACCAGCAATTAGGAACTAGCTTTCCTTTTCTGAAAGCTGCACTTGAAGGTGGGCAGGCCTGAGGCCTGCGCCCCAGCAGGCTTGATACATGGTGTGAGACAGGGACTCACATAGTCCCTTCCCTTCTCTGGAGGCCACCCTGCCAAGCTGCAGCACCAGGACCAGGTGCCAGAGAACTCTGGAAAGAGGCCCCGCTAAGAAGCAAATGCCTCTCCTAGCATTGCTCTCTCTGAAGATCCTGCTTTCTGCCTGCACTTTGGTGGAGCCTGTGGCTTCCATCTTTAGGGTGGAATCCAGAGGAATCCTTGGATACAGAAGCACAGTGTCCTTAAAAATGTTATACCAAGGAGATCAAATATAAGAAAAATGTTGCCAAACCCACAGCAGCCATGATGGCATTTGAGAATTTACTTTCTCTCAAGTCTAAAGAATGTAAAAGATCCTGTCAGCACTAAACACAGTGCTCCATAAACCTTGTTGCAATGAATGAATGAGTGAATGAAAGGATGGATGAATGGGTAGGTGGGTGGGTGAGCAGGTGATTCTCAGCAGCAACATAACCACACTGCCAGGGACTATGCATGCTGGGTGAGGGCTCCTGTGTAATGAGACTGGGGAGGTCTACACACATCCTTAGAACTGTCTGGCACTGCACAACCCCTTCCTTACAGGGCTAGGGACATTCCATTGAGTGTGAGGCATTGGCAGACTTTCCTGCTGTCTTTGATGCCTGGCTGTGGTGCTATAGGCATCCCACTCAATATTTCTTGACTCTACTGTCCTTACCAGCTAAAGTATAGGTAGAAACACACATGGGCAGAGGTTTGGTGGTTACTTGTAATAAAAAGTTACTTACAAATATCAGATGGCTCATTTAGAGAGGGCCCCAGCAGTTCATCTTGAATGGGATCCACTTTTAATGTCCCAATTAATAATTTTCCCATTAAATAGTATAAATTTATGCTTCAACTTGTGCTGACAAGCAGAGTTGAAGTCCTCAGTCTTACTTGGCTGACACTCAGGATTGAGATGGGGCTATTTTCTGGCTATTTTCTTCCCTTTGTCTCCTCACTAATCATAAGCAGATAGCAGGGGAAGGAGGGGCAGGGGAGAAGCAGGGGGAGGGGCATGTGGCAGCTCACTGTCTCCGGGAGCCCCTCCCCCTATGCTAAACAGTTTGTGTTTTTCTTGGTGCCAAATGACAGTGGACATCAGCTTTGCTGGGCCGTGCCCCAGTGTAAGCTCTGCACACTGGCCTAGGGAAGTCCCGTACAAAAGCCCATAGATGCGAATAAATTACTGACAGTGCCCATCCTCCCGAGCCAGCTGGCGTGGAGATCCAGATGCTGACCTGGCTGAAAGAGAATACTGTGTTGGCGTCTCCTGATGCAGAGTTAAATGCTTGTTAAAGAAAAAAGAGTCTTGGCCGTTCCTTTTCTTCCTAATGTCTTCCACGCCCCCATCGGCTGCCATCCCTCCAGGTTCGGGCCCGTCGGGGCCTGGGGTTTGGGCAGCGAGGTTGAGAGGGCAGCGGGGTGCTACGCTCTCCAGAGTTGACACCCAGGCAGCCCCAATGTTGCTCAGGGACAGCAGATTGGTTAGGCAAGTCCTGAACAGGGGGGAGGGACCTGATGCCCTGTGGCTTGGGCTTCTGTGCCTGAGGAGGAAAGGAATATGGAGCTTGAGCTGACAGGACACCAGGGAGCGAAATACAGATCAACACATTCCTTCCACGTGTCCGGGATTTACCCTTCCACAACCCAGGAGAGCACAGAGCTGCAAGAATCACCAGGGCTGGCTGCCGTCTTGGGGGAACAAGGGCAGAAAGATAAATCACCAAATAACCAAGAATGCAGTAACCCCATAGGCAGCGCCAATTTGTTGCTGTTTTGAACGGGCACAAGTAGATATCGAGGGTGCCCTTTAGACACACTGGGCAGTTGCTTTAATGGGAAGAAACGATAAGCTTCTCTTGTGGCCCTTTCCTACTTTCTATTCAATGTCGACATTTAGTCCTACGTCCACTGTGAGAGCTCAGTGCACACTCAAGCCTCATTCAGGTCTGAAGCTCTTTGGGCATCATGGTGAATGGGGCTGAGGCACCAGAGCTGCCTAGGACAGAGGAGGAGACTTGGGAGAGGGGCAAGTTTTGATCTCTGTCTCCTCCATTTCTCAGGAATGTCTTCTTTGCCTCTTCTGGGCCTCACTGGGTGGGGGGTGGGGGTCTCAGCCGTTGGCCTTCCTGGATGATCGGGGGCCCAGACTTACATGCTCCACGATTCTAATGGATTGTGATATCTTGAGAGCTCACCTTTGTACGAGTGGGGATGGGGATACACAGTGGGCTGGCCTTACACTGGCAAGTGGCGATAAGGTAGCTCCTGATGTGCTTTGAGAGGGTCAAGGCCTGTTATTCCTTTACAAGAGAATTCTCCCAAATCAAGGTTTCCTCACTTTTGATGAATCCCCTATTAAAATGTAAGTACACTGGGAGGTGCTGGAGAATAAAGGGACCTTAGAGAAATGGAACATAAGTTGGAGTCTAGGGTAGAAAAAAGTAGAAGTAGAGGTGTGGAGGGGGCCTAGGCAGGTGGGAAGGGCCAAAGACAAACTTAACCAACTTCACAGCACTGCTCAGGATCTGTGTCCTGTTGGCAACTGTACGTATTTTTCCACAGGACAGAAAACACCTGGAAATTGGTCCATAACCACTGTGAAACCTTCAGCACTGATACTGTAGTATTAACATTATAAACAGAAGCATATTCTTAATATCCTTAGTTGCTCTCAGTAGTAATAAAAAGGCTCTTTAACATTGTTAAATAAACAAGATCTTATCTAACATCCTTCTCATTTAGTTTAGAAGACTACCAACATAAAAATAATCTCCAAAGAAGACAAAACATACAACACATCATACATGTTTCTAAAAAATTCAGGCAGACCATTACGAAGATCTGACATTTAGGAATTAATCACTAATCCTGATTTCAGAATCATTTTGTTCTAGGAAGACCCACCACTGACTTTTATTTAGAAAGTTGGGTTCAGATAATCGTGAGGCAGCTCTGATCTTATATTGCACAAAAACCGCTCACTTACTTCCACATCTGTGAGTTCAAGTGTTTTTCTACCATGGAGTTTAGTGCGAATCGAAAACGATCCCATCTTCTATCAAACACATAGTACCCTCGTCCCATGAGGCGACTCCCGAATGAGCAAAACTGTGAGGAAAAAACATTTTAATTTTGATTACAGGTTAATAAGCTAATATAAACCATACAGAGAAAAATAAAATTTGCATAAAAACACACAGGGGCACAATTTTACTCAAAATAAAGAAGCAAATAGTACCAAAGCCAAAAATATTTCTGTGGCTGCCATAGTTGGAGCTCTAGATTTTCTGCAGAGCCTCACATTATAACTCAACAATAGCTACATTCAATCTGCCGTGGCACTGAGGGCTACATTCTCTACTCCCGGGATTGAGCCAGCATTTTGGGTTAAAAAACAAACGACAACAACCAGCAGTGAGGGTGATTTTTCAGCACCATCTGTTCACCACATCATCCATCTTTTCAAGGAACTTGGTGGCTCCCTGCTTCTCAACGCAGTGATGGAAACTGCTTGTTCTGATGTCCCAGGTCACACCTTTCCTATCCAATGTCAACAGAGCCACTTCCCTTCCATGCCTCCTTTCCCCGGTACTGGCCTCATCTCCACCTCACACCGGCCCTTGCAGGCTGCCCTGGGACATGTCGTGTCTGCAGGCCTTCCTCATGCTCGTCCCTCGGCCTGCCGTCTCCTTCCCTCTTCTCTTTGTCGGTCCCAATCCTCCCCTCTCTGTGCCCCAGTCAAGATCCTCATCTCCAGTGTCCCTCCTCTGATTAATCTTCCCACTGTAAACTCCCATGGCGCACCCATATCACTTTTTACTACAGTTCACCTTGGAATCAGTATATGGCTGTTCTGTGTTATACACAACGATAACGCCCTTGTACCTGACTCAACTATCAATGTAGAGAGACTGGGGACCCCATTTTCTTCCTCTTCCTCTTCAGTATAAGGATAGTAGGGATTTGGGCTAAAGAATGGATTGGGGATACAAGGTCCTACAAAATGTTTAAAGCAAACCACCACATTTAAAGCATATGGCTGAAATGTGGGCATTCAGATGTTTAATAAACACCATGTGACTGTGATGTTAGGACAACTGGAAGGCCAGTAGACAAGAATACAAGAAGCAGCCTCTGAGAAGGTGACATTTGGCTGGTCTAGAGTGCAGGCAAGTCTGCAAATGACTCTATAACTCAAATGCAGCTTCTCCCCCTTCCGCCAGGCCTCCCAGCAGCTCCCTGGCCTACAGCCCAGACACGGTGCCGGACTGGCACTCATTCCACACACCCGTCCTGGAACCAGCCTTGGAACAGTTCTCAGGAGGAAAGGCAAGACCTTCTCTTTGTTCTGTTTCTGCTTGTGTTTAGGGAGGTTTTGCATTAAAATCTTGCCACTCATCAAATCTGGTACTGCTGATGAAAAACACTCTTCTGCACCTTCATATTAAGTGCTTACTGAGCAATCAAGAAAGCATACAAAGGAAATTCTCCAACGGGGAAGCTGGTCCCCAGCAGCACGTGGGAGCTGTTCCAGGTCTAGACATCATTTCTTCCTTCATCCCAATTGCTAAAGGCGTACTGAGCGAGTGTTCATTATCAAAAATGATTTAATGTGTCAATTGGCCCATGAGAGGAAGGATAAGCAAAGAAACAAATCCATGGCCTTTCCATTAAAATTGGCAAAACGTTAAGGGCACACAAATGCACCACGTCCAGAGTTTAGCTAATCCACTGCAGCCTGGCAGCTTGTCATTTGGACAAGTGTCTTGATGTACTCCAGCATCTGACCTTCTGGTAGAGCCTCGTATCTCTTTCAGACTTGGGACTGGAGGCACCTTTTTGTCTTCACTACCTATGTACCTGATTCCACACAGATGCAAGGCTAGATGGCCCCGAGAGGCTCCTGTTCCTAGATGGCGTATTATGCCCTCAGCAGAGCTGTAGATCCTTACTGCATTGGCCATGATGGCAGACCTCACCGGTTGCCAACCTTGCCAGCTGTCATCCACTCCCAGCTCTTGCTATCTTTTCCTTGCTAACAGAACCGCACTTTTGTTCTGATATCTGAGATGGAGCTGTAAACAGGGAAAGTGGGTCTCCTCCCAGAACCCTGGGATGTACCATGGCTGGTTTCATCCTGTGCCACTGCAATCCCTTCCTTCTCCACCATCAATCAGTCTAGGAATGGGCACGTGACCCATCTCTGGCCGATATAAGGGGAAGTCTGCTGGGCGATATAAGGGGCTTTCATTGGAAGATTTTCTTTCCTAACGTAAGACAGCATCTTGGAAGAAGACTTCTTTTCTGTTTGTCCCTTTCCATCCTGTGTAGAATGCCACTGGGTGAGAATGTGATACTGGAGCTGTGGCAGATGCATTGAGACCATGCATGAAAGGTGAATAGAGTTGCAGAGATTGTTGCTCCGCTTCATGACATCGTGGAGAAGCAGAACCAAGCTTGGAAGCACCTACCTCTAGACTTCTTGCTATGTGAGATAATTAAATGGCCTCAGTGCTTGTGCCATATGAGTTGAGTTTTCCAGTACTGGCAGTCAAAAGCATTCCTAATCGTCCCTGACTATTTCTGTTGGTGAGCCGTGGGTAACCATCATCCCCAGAAACAAGTGAATTTGGCTTTTATTCATCACACAGATAGAAGGAAGGAGGGACTTACTCTATCTTGATGCAGGATTGATTTTGCTTACACAGTCCCTGAGATCTACAGATAGTCAAAACTAACCTGCAGGGCTCAAGCTGGCACCATAGTAAACCGCCATGGGGTCGCATGTTCCAGGCCCCCTGCGTTGGGCTCTGTGATGTTAGCACCAGGTGTTCCCTTCTCAAGTGCTCGTGTGGCAAACACGAACAAGCCTCCAGCTGATGCCTCCTACTTCTCCCTTCAGTTTCAATGACCTTCTGAGTTGTTAAAGTGGACTCACTCAAGGATTTGGAACAAAGGTGCCCTTTCTGTTAACTGGCAATCGTACTGACATGAAATGCTTTCTCTTTCCCTCTGTAACACACACACACACACTCACACACACATTCAGTTCTGGTGCCATATGGTCACACTTACTAATAACAATAAAACTTAGAATCAACAGGGGAGAACCCCAGCAGGGGCTGGCACCTGACACACTGCTGAGACAGACGGTTTCTAGAGCAGGTGGGCCAGGCTAACTCCGTCAGATCTTTTTTTGGCAGCTGGCTGGGACAGGGAACCGAACCCTTAGACCTTAGTGTTACAGGGCTGCATGCTAACCAACTGAGCTACCTGGCCAGCCCTGGACATCAGAGGCTCCATATTAGATGGGCCAGGCCAGAAGGTCAGCTCCCAAGTGCACTTATATAAACACCATTTCTCAAGCATTCTCGCTTCTGGGTGGACCACAAATACTCAGGATTATAATTAGCTGGGAGTGCTTTCCCTTCCTCCTGTGACATTCAAGGGTCTTTCTAAGGCAATCATTCCACCTTAGGCTACTGATGGCCTTTCCTTAGGAATGTGTGCCTCTGGCATGGCCACCTAAGTGCCTGCAGAGCACAGGGGAAGACGCATGGAAGGGAATGGAGGGGCCTACCGCGAGAGGCCTGGGGTGGTGCGTGGAGAACTGACAGTCTAACTTCTCGGATTCGTCGGCTCCGTCCATCTCCCCTTCATCACTGGACAGCCGGCTGGCGAGGTCCCCTCCAACTGGGGGAAGAGGGGGCTCTGGAGTGTAGCCGCTGTGATTTGAAGATGCGCTGCTGCTTATGCTATTTGCAGATGATGGTCTAAGGGCAAGGGGGGAGAACAAACAGAATCAACCTTTTGGAGCTAACAAGTTGCACCCGGTTTAATGGCACTCAGAAAGCAGCTGATTAGCCTTGCCAATACGTCAGTAGGGGCAGGTCGACGGCAGCTTTGTACAAGGGAAAAAATGAAGGCTGAAGGGTTAGCAGTGACCAGGTCTCTATAGTGACCCGGTGGAGTTGGGGTCTTTCCTGCTTGCCGCCTCTGGGGCAGAACATAGGAATGAGGGAAAAACCCAACAGTGAAAGCAGGGTGTAAAATACAGGAATGGGACAGAGAGTAAATTTAACCTAAAGCGAGTCTTCTAAGAATTCAGTTATAACTATTTGTATTTGCCACATAGGTGCTTCCCTTTGAAAGTGGAACCTGACAGGAAGGTAAACCAGGTAAACAAGATCAGACCAATCAACAAAATATCAGTGATTGAAGAAACACAGTACTTTACTACTAAACTATGACTTTATGAAATTGTTATTATACTGGCATGAAAAAAGGTTTTGTCCCAGTGATGGGCCACTAGTCCCTTACCCCACAGCCATGCCTGTTTCTTAACGCTGAGCCATGTGTAGTTTCAATGTATCTTCCGAGGATGAGTTGTTCAATTTAATTTTTGACAAGCCACTTTACCCACTGCCTGGCATGACTGGCTCATAGTAGGTGTTGAAGAGATATTTTTCTCAATGAAGAAATGGATGAATTCCATGTGTATAAAACGATACGACAGATGCCATCTCAATTATGGCTAAGCTTATAAAAAAAGCAATGTCACAATAAGAGGTAGCATGACATGCTTCCTAAGCAGTAAAAAACAAAACCAGGCAAAACCAAAAACAAACACATCTGCATTCGTAGAAGAGTAGAAGAGGAATAGTCACAGTTAATTGTTAGTAGTTTTTACTATTTCTCTACTTTCATCAAGTGCTTGACCAGGGATAGGTGGCAAAGATAGGGAGGAAAAAGAAGTTTTGTAGAAAAAAAAAATCAAGATTTAAAAAACAATTGCTTTTCTGCTTTCTGCTTTGAAAGCTGCCCTGTTACATCACATAAGCAGCACTGCGGATTTGTTGCCCTTCTCTCCATTTTCACTCTGGATTCTTTGTTGCATTGAGATACTTTTAGGTCTAAAATACCTGAATTCAAACCAGATCCCAAAAGTACAGTTACTTTAAAACAAAGCCACAAGCGTGGAAACAACCCAAATGATCATCAACAGATGAATGAATAAACAAAATGTGGTACATCCCGCAATGGAATATTATTCAAGCCTTAACAAGGAATGACATTCTAATGTATGCTACAATATGGATGACCCTTGAAGGCACCATGCTAGATGAAATAAGCGAGACACAAAGGACAAATATTGTATGATGGGGTACTTAGATGAGGTACTCAGACAGAAAACAGAACAGTGGTTATCAGGAGCTGGGGATACAGAGTTTCAACTGGAGATAATGAAAAAGCTCTGGACGCTGATGGTGGTATGGTTGTGCAACATTGTGAATGTACTTAATGCCACTAAGTTGTATGCTTAATAATGGCTAAAATGGCAAATTTAATGTTTTTTTTTTTTTTTTTTTTTTTTTTTTTTTTTTTTTTTTTTTT